GAGTTGCCTGCCAGGCCTGGGAGGGAGGCCTCAGGAAGGGGCCCCTCGTAAATCGTTAACTCCCACAGCTGCCACCTCCACTGCCACCACGGCCTGTCCCCTTGGGCCCCACCCCCAGCTGTGACTCTGGCTCTCAGGGAGCCCCCCCAGGCCAGAAGTCAGAGGTGAGGGGTAAAAGCCAGAGGTCCCAGCACCTGAGCAAGACCCTCCTCCAGCTAGGAGGGGAAGCAGGGGAGGGAGGGTGCCTCTGGGGGAGGCACTTCTAAGTTCAGAGCTCCTCACCCTAGTTTGCCCTCCAGCCTTCCTGCTGCAGCCCTAACCTTTCCTCTTAGGGCAGCCCCTGGGCAAGTCCCAAGCCCATCAGGCCTTTATTTTCCTCAAGGAGGTGATTATGCCAGTCCCACTCACGCTGCCTCAAGGAGCATCACCAGGATTACATAATGAATGGATAGAGCAAAAGATCTACCCAATAGATACTGGTCCAAACTGGGATAGGACCCTTAACATTGTTCCAACCCTGCTTCCTGGTGCTGGGGTCCTCGGAGGGAAATAATAAAGGCTGCTTTTCTAGGGGTATTGTGTGAAGTGAAGCCTTTACCTGCTTAGTAATCTGTTTGCCTGCAGATAAGGAAACTGAGGCTCGTAGGGGAGTGGTGACTTACCCAAGCTGTGTCACCTGTAACAGGATCAAGGCCAGGATTTTAGTCAATGTTGTACTCTCAAGCTGAGTCCTTGAAGGGTTCTGTTCCCTCAAATTACTAAACTACAGGTGAGGAGACACCCTAAAGGCAAAAATGGGCTAGTTAACCCGCCCCAGTAGGGTTTGTGTGCGCGGGGTGGGGGAGGAGCTGAGATGGGGCAGGTAGGGGAGCACAGTGGGCAGGAGACTGGCCATGTCCTCCATCGCTCTCTGTGAGCCTCTCCTTCGGGCCATCTTCCCGCCCTTAGTTCACATACCCCCGGGTGCTACCACCGGGGAGGCCTGACCTGCACTCCCCAGACCCCCGGTAAGAATTCTCCTGCCCCAGACAAGTTAATGAGAGAGGATTGATGGTGGTGCTACCACCCTTTTCACTAGGGAGCCATCTCAGAAGCAAAGAGATGGAGACAAAAAAAAAATAAATAAAATTCAACTTTTAATCAAGATTGCAGATTCAGAAAAGATTCATAAGTGAAATGATTCCCTGAGGAAATATAAAAAGTTACTTACGGCATGGCTAAATTGGGCACGCTTCAATCAGGGGCTGTTGAGAAATCATTAAGATATACAAGACGATTTTTCAGATATATGTGAGCTCTATCAGGAGGGCTGGCCACTGCTCCGGTTAGATCTGGCCCCGAGCTGGCGCTTGGCCTCCCGTGCCACCTCCTCCCACCCAGACCCATGGCTTATTCGCGGGGCCCCAGGGGCCACTGTCTAGAGGTTGCCACTGCCCTCAGGAGCGTAGAAGGGATTAGGATGAAGCAGAACTTTGTAGTGTTTCAAGGAGCTTTTCCCCTTCCCAATAGCTTAATGGTGTGTAGCAGGGCAAGAATTACATACCTGCCCTGAAAAACGAAAGAGGGGACTCCCTTCATTTCCCCTGACCCCTTCCCCTAATTCTTGGATCAGCCAGAGGAAGTGGGAGCCCTATTTGGACACAGGACCAGAGTGCCCTTTCAAAACTGTATCCCAGGGCTTTGCCCTTGGGGAAGAGGGCAAGCCATTCCTTTGGCTCCTCTCTCCAGGGAAAACTGGGGGAAATGAACCCCTTCCCCATGGTGGGGTGGGGTGGGAGCAGTTTTCAAGGATGATCACTAGCTCTTAAGAGAACATTCTCCCTCCCCTGGTAGCTGCTTTCATTTCTCTGGTCGCAGGCATATTATCTGAGGTCTAACCCTCCTGCCCTGTAGCCTGCAGGGGTCTTCCTACTCCTTGCTTTGCCCATGCCTAGGGCTTTTAGAGGCCAGGGCATTAGTGAAACATGGAGGGTCCTTGCTAGATACTGATCACCCTCCCAATTCTGTGCAATCTCGGAGGCCAGGACTCCTGGGGCCTGAGACAGGGTCAAGGTCTTATTATGCATCTCTATGCTTGGTTAAGGCCTGGTCCCCAGTTGGTGTTAAATGTGTATTGAAGTGGGAGGGAGAAAAATCAGGAGGGGCTGGGCAATCTGTCCCGTGAGAGTGGGTGTGGAGAAGGGAGATGGGCCACAGCCTGGTGAGGGGACGGTAATGGCAAGTGCCTAGACCCCCTTTGTTAGGCCCATCTGCCTGATAGCCCTCGCTTCCATCAAATCACCAAGGAAAGCAAGAAACTCGAGCCGGATGGCGGTGGCCACGCTGCCTTGTGGGTGACCCGAACCCGATCCTGGCCAGGCCGAGGCACTATTTTAATCCCCAGCCCCAAACTGCCACCTCAGCCAGCCTGGCCCGTCTCTGGTTACAAAGCCACTGCCCACCTCCCAGCCACTTCCTCCTCCCCACCCGGGAGCCCCCTAGACTGGGTTCAATGTGGGCAACCCTGCCCTCTGTGGACCTTGGTCTGTCAACTGGCATCAATGCCTCTCTCCATTCCTTTAGCCTTGCCCCCTTAGGCACTCTCATTCCTCTACCCTCAGAGGGACCCACTGGCCTGTATTCTGACTGAATCTCCCCGTGGATAAGTGTTCTCTTCCACTAGAGCTAAGGATTCACTCTGGTCACAGACACTGAAATGTTGGACTCTGACTCTGTGGGGGCCAGAGCATGCAGGCCAGGATAGGGTAATGCTACAGAATAGTGGTTCTCAACCTTTCTAATGCCGCGACCCTTTAATACAGTTCCTCACATGACCCTCAGGTGACCCTGCTAGTGGTTCTCAACCTGTGGGTTGTGACCCACAGGTTAAGAACCACTGCTGTAGAGCCTAAGACCATCAGAAAACATAGATATTTACATTATATTTCATAACAATAGCAAAATTAGTTATGAATTAACAACAAAAATAATTTTATGCAAAGGGAGGGCGGGGATAAAAGAGAAAGATCAACCAAAGGACTTGTGTGCATATATATATAAGCCTAACCAGTGGTCAAGGACAATAGGGGGGTGGGGGACTGGAATGGAGGGTTGAGGACAAATATGTGATACCTTAATCAATAAAGACATTTAAAAAAAAAAGAAAATTTTATGGTTGGGGGTCACCACAACATGAGGAACTGTATTAAAGGGTCGAGGCATTAGAAAGGTTGAGAACCACTGCTACAGAAGGAAAGGAAGTAGTTTAGATATAAGTAGGGACCTCCCAGCAGTGAGACTGTACACTAGAGAACTTTCCTTCACGTCAGTGCCTGCCTGCCAGTTTGGGCAGGAAAAGGAAGGCGACTCGAGGGAGTCTGGCTCAAGGACTTATGGGATAGGGGACTCAGGGACCATTCAGTCAGCCCACTGTGCCTTTCTCTCTCCCCCACCCCCACCCCCTTCTTGGAGGGGACAGATTGGCACTCAGGTGGCCCAGCTGTCAGCTGGCTGAGCCTGCTGGACTTGTGTCTATAATCCTTCTACTTTAGGCAGTAGCCCCCACTGGCTCTGAGGCCTGTCAGCCCCACCCCTACCCAGCCCAACACCAGCAGACACTGCCAGGGCACCAAGGGAAGTGAGAGCTGATCATCCATGCTGGTCCCCTCCCACCTCACACTGGCTGGACAGAGGGCATCCAGGCAGGCTGAGGACCCCATGACTGCACCCGCTCCCTCATCCCCATGCTGTGTAGTCCAGCAGTGAGCTGTTGGCACCAAGCCTGGCGCAGCTGAGCAGTGACACCAACAGCCCTGCCATCTCAGGCAAGCATAGTTCCCTCCAACCTGGCAGGTGGGCCATGCAGGCTGAGGGGAAAGGATGTCTCTCACCCTCCTGGGCCTGAGATATGGAGGAGCGTTTCTGAAACTCTCCCCTCCTCTGCAGAGGATCCCAAGGCTCTTGGCTGCCCCTTCCAACCTAGAGGGCTTGTCTTCATGTTAGACCAATGGTTCCCAACTGTAATTGATTTTGCCCCCCAAGGGCTATTGAGGCATGTCTGGAGGCATTTTTGTTTGTCACAACTGCTGCTACTAGCATCCAGTGGGTAGAGACCAAGGATGTTGCTAAATATTCTATAATGCACAAGACAAAGAATTAAATGGCCCAAAATGTCAATAGTGCCGAGGTTGAAAAACCTAGGGAAGAACGTCCCTGATTAATCTGGGAGACCGGTAGGAGGCAGGAGGTATTTTATACACACACACAGGGGCCAGGCCCATCATCTCCCACCCCACAATCAGAGGGTCCTTCTGCCATTCTGGCTGCGGAATGTGGCGTGCAGCTTGCCTGCTCAACTATCCACCCACCCACCCACCTCTGGGTTTGTTAGAAGTGTGCCCACAATGTGTGTGTGAGAAGGTTGTCAAAACTCTTTACCTGCCCATTGAGGGGGACTCAGACATATCCCACCACTAGCAAGCTCTATAGAGCCCTCTCTCCCCAAGAGGATTCTGAGCCAGTGGGAAAAAATAGGGGCTGCCCTGCCCCTCCCATTCCCAGAGGGCTGGCCCAACCTGTGGCTGGTTGGAAGCTCTGGCCTCCTCCTCATTTCCCTATCACCTTCCATTTCTATTTAGGAGGCAGTCATGGTGGCTCAGCCCTTGTCTCTGGTTTCCTAGGGAGCTCTGCCGAAGCAGCCCAGCTTCCGTGGATCCATCTGTCAGGGAGGCTGTTCCGCCCCATCGATTGCTGTTCCCATGGGGCTGTGCTGCTTGAGGGACCCTATGTGTAGTCCAGATAGGAGGGAACCGCACCGATAGGAGTGGCTGGGGGCAGCTGGGCAATAGGCAGAGCTGAGGGGGGCTGACACTTCAATGAGAAGGAACAAAGCTAGACAGGCATGAGAAAAGCAGAGGGCCAGGGGCAGCAAGGCAAGAGGCTGGCTAGAATGACCTCTGAAGCCAGCGGGTACCCTAAGGACCCAGTTTTACCTTTGGACACAGCAAATTCTCACTTGCAAAGACAACAATAACTGACATTTACTGAGCAGGAACAGAGCGCCCAGCATGGAATTGGGGGCTTTGCACATCTCTGCTTTCATTTGAGGTTCACACCTATCCAAAGCAGATGCTGTTATTCTCCTTTGGCAGGGAAGGAAGCTCAGAGAGGTTGCAACATTTGTCGGCGGCTACACAGAGGAGCTGGAGCTAGATTTGGAGGCAGGTCAGCCTGGCCCATGGCCGTGCCCCAGCCCCAGACAGCCAACCAGGCCTGGAGGGAGAGGAAACTTGTCTAGCCAGGCAAGAGGCCCTGCCTACCCTCCCCATGGAGCCACCTCCTCCCCTGGGCACTGTGACATCTGCCCTGCTTCCTGGCCCCAGACAGCTGCTCAGAGCCACGTCAGCACTTCCACGGGGAGCCTGGAAACTGACTCTGGCCCCTGGGCAATGGGGGACCGGGGAGGGCTAAAGAGAGGGTGACCCACTCAGCCAAGCAGGCAAAGGGTCTGATGACCTTGGGCTTCTCTGAGCCTCAGTTTCTCCTGAGTGGGTGGGTGGCAATGGCTTTGGGAAGGGGCTCAAAAGAGGAAACAGTATAGCATACTGGGCGGACAGGGAGCAAACACACTCATTCCCACACTGCCAGAGTGGTGGGATGAAATGGTTGTGTGACCTGTGACCAACTGTATGGTTGTGTGGGGCTGCCACTGGGCAGCCTGTGAACCCTACTGTCCACTGGGGCCAGGTGGCCAGGAGGGTGAGGAGGGGGTGGGGAACAGTCTGTGCCCGCCCAGGCCTGCACTCTGGCTGGCTGAGGCCAGAGATAACCGGAGCCTCCAGGAAAATCATTAGCATCTGTTTAGGCCACAGCAAAGTTGGCTGGCCAGAGCCTCCACCCGCAAGAAAAGGCCCGTTTGCCCCCACCCAGGCAAGCACTAGGACTCGCAACCCCCTCCCAAGGCCCCGCCCAAACTGGTGTGGTGACAACAGACACCCACCCAGAGTAGGGGAGGGGCCTGGGTGCAAGCCAGGCAGGCAAGGGTCGGTATGTTGCCCGGGCGGTGTGGACCGGATGGACACTCCGGTCCATGCTCTGGGCAATCCAGGCCTGCTCTTGGCAGCGCCCACACTGGCAGCAGCCCAGGGAGTGTGTGGAAATGACACCGCCAGGGCGGCGGAGATCCCCCCTCCTGACATTGGCTGGAAAGTGGAGCAGCTCGTCAGGGACAATCAATGGCGATCGATTGCTGCGCGGCTCTGGCGGACAGTGCGGGGGAGGGGCGATGGGGGCTGAGGTCAAACACACACAGACCCGAAAGGGGGAACAGCGGCACAGAGGGGTTGCACAGACACACAATCCGTACAGGGAAACACCAATCTGGGCCAGTGCCACCACGAAGGAGGCACACTCACCACAAGGAGTCACACCACACCACAACAGTCTGACACAACTGGGGTCAAACAAATGGTTCACGTGAATACATATAGTAATAGGGTCACATACACACAACTATCACACAAACAGTTCACTTCACCACCACAGGGCCTCATACCACAATGGATGACCCTATACCAGACACCTACATCACCAGGACACAAAATGAGTCATACATTCCACTAGCTGGTCTCAACCACACAACAGTAGGGAGTTATATACTTTGGCTGCACAACAAAGTCACACAACACAGCAAAAAAAGTTACACAGCCAAATTATACATCATCACCACAATTAAAAAACAAAACAAAGTCAAATGGGTATCACACTATGCAACAATACAATGGTGCCCCACATTGGCAACATAAGATCACACGCCCAAAACAGAGCCATACAGCACACATTGTACCCCCACAACTAAGACACAGATGCAGCTGTCTCATATCCCCTTACACAAATATAGGGTGTCCCCAAAAATGTATACATACATTCTGTTGTTATTTTTTAAATATATTTTAATTTCAGAGAAGAAGGAAGAGAAATAGAAACATCGATGATGAGAATCTTGGTTGGCTGCCTCCGCACGCCCCCGTTGGAGATCCAGCCTAGAGCCCAGGCGTGTGCCCTTGACCAAAATCGAATCCGGGAACCTTCAGTCCACAGGCCGATGCTCTTCCACTGAGCCAAACCAGCTAAGGCTATACACATACACTCTGAATAATTATAAAGGCAGTGTTTATTAAAATACATTTCATTTTCAAAATTGAGCTATCAGTTGTTAAAATCTGTACATATTTTTGGGGGGCACCCTGTATAACATGGCACAATGAACAAATACTGTGGCACAGGCAAACTAGCATTAACTCACAGGGCCAGGCATCTGGTAAGTGTTTAAAACACAGAGGGTCTTGGGACCTACCATGATTATACATATCATAGTAATCTACCATCACACACACCTTGAAAACATAACTCAAGTCTCACAAACACAATTCACTGGTTGTGTGACAGTGTGACCAGCCCTGCTGCACTCACCCACATAGTGGCCACACATGATCACTTCCCCTAGTAAACTCAGAACAGCCACACACTCTGGGACTTTGGTGGGGAAGCCACCCCCAATCTCTTACCAGGTACATATCGGGTCTAGTAATAATGTCGTTTTTAAACTCGTTTAAAATCTTGCTTGGCGTTGACTTGTATTGACATAACCTTCAAACACGTGGTATCTACAGAACGTGTGAAGTGCAATTAACAAGTTTTGCTTGAAAAAGTTTGTGTTTGGTTTGGTTTTTGTTGCAAAACTAGGGCTAAGAAGATGGCGGATGAAGAGCATATTCGGCACTGCATGCTTTACGAGTTCCAATTAGGAAGAAAAGCAAGTGAGGCTGCAAAAAACATCTGTAGTGCTCTTGGTCAAGATGCAGTTAGCGCCAGAAAATGCCAGCGTTGGTTTGAGAAATTTCGCGAGGGAAATTTTTCGTTAGATGACAAGAGTGGTCGAGGCCGTGTGTCCAATTTTTATCAAGAAGCTCTTCAAGCTCTTTTGGTGCAAAATTCTCAAATTACCCAACAAGAGCTTGCGACAACTTTAAATTGTTCACAAAAAACAATTTCCAGTCAATTGCGTGCACTTGGCAAAGTCCAAAAGTTTGGAAAATGGGTTCCTCATGAGTTGACCGACAACAACCGTAATCAAAGAGTCACAATTTGCAGTTCGCTCCTCTCTCGTCAAAACCGTTAGCCGTTTTTAGAGCACATTGTTACCGGAGATGAAAAATGGGTGCTGTATGTTAATTTGAAAAGGCGGCCTCAATGGTTGGACAAAAATGAGGCTCCGCAGCCCATGCCAAAACCTGACTTGCATGCGAAAAAAGTGATGTTGTGTGTTTGGTGGAATTTTAAAGGAATTCTTCATTATGAACTTTTATCATCTAACCAAACCATTATAAGTGCAGTGTATAGTGCCCAATTGGAAAGGTTAGCCCAAGCTTTAAGAGAAAAAGAACCCGCGCTGATTAATTGGAAGAGTGTAATTCTTCACCACGATAACGCACGACCGCATACTGCAAGAATCACTGCTGAAAAACTGCACCAGTTGGAATGGGAAGTTCTCCCTCAACCTGCATATTCTCCTGATATTGCCCCTTCCGATTACCATTTGTTTCGTTCTTTGCAAAACTTTCTTCTTGGAAAAAAATTTAATAATGAAGAATGCCTCAAAAATGCATTGACCGAATTTTTTGCATCAAAATCACAAGAATTTTACAACAGAGGGATTAAAATGCTTCCTGAGCGTTGGGCACAAGTAGTAGAAAACAACAGCAACTATATTGTTGATTAAATTTTGTTGTATTGTTTAAATAAATTCGATTAAAAAAAAAAAAGCATTAGAAAACGACATTAATTATTACTAGACCTAATAGCTCCTGACCCTATTTCCTGCCACTCTCACTAAGTCACAGAACACAAAGCACCTCTCACCCAACACTGATCCAGTTACATAGGGTCCCAGAACCTCCCACATAAACTTACTGAGGACCATCCCTAACCAGTCACTCTCTGTGATCCATTATTTAGTGGATATACTGAGGCAACAGTTCTAGAGCCCTCAGAAAAACACACTCCCTAGTCCAAATCCAAAGCAGGAAACTGGAGTAGCTCCTGTTCTCAGCCACCCCCCCTCCAACACCCATTCTCAGTGGTGCCTGTGCATGGGAGCAGAGCCAGATGATCATTCCTTCAACACCCCCTTATAGGCCACTCCTGGGGTTTGTTCCAGTGTAGGGCCACTTCCTCCAGTGAGGCCTGGGTCCTCCCCACGGGCTTCCAGGAGCCCCTTGCAGCCAGAGTGCTCCCCCTTAAGATTTCACCTGGAAAGACTCCCAAGATTCCCAAGTATTGCCTGATTGTGACCTTAGCTAATTCCCCAAACTGTATATGCCTAGATCCCAAATCCTGCTTGCTGACCCAACACACACACAGACACACACCCTCTAACCAGGGAGAGTTGGTTGTAGGTCCACTAGGTCGGCTTGTGACACAGGATGGGAACGCAAGGATCCTGGGCTGTAGGCAAAGCTACAAACCATCCATGGCTTATCCTTACTCTCATCCTTCAGGTAGGTCTGGGAAACAAATGGGAGACGTCTGGCTTGGCCTCCCTTCATATTACCCCTAACCTCCATGGCTGGAGGCAACTCTTCCTATCACAAGCTCAGGCTTGTATTTACCGAGATAGCTGGGTTCTCCTTTGTCCCCCGAGAGAAGCAGATGGACAGACAGACCCTGGGCAAGGTCACAGTCACACAGGATGGTTAGGCTCATCCATCCAAATGCCTATCCATTTTGCTTGTGAATATTTGCAAGCCTTGCCAAGTGGGTCCCAAAAGGGCCTGGACAGCCTGCTTAAGGTCCCTGGGTGTCCCAGGAGCTAGTCCTGTTCCGAGAGAAGCAAATCTCTGGCCTGTACAGGAACCCAGGAAAGATGCCCCACTGACCATGCCTACCTCCCTTAACCTATAGGCATCACAGCCACAACATTTTAATTCCATAAGGACATTTTCCACCAAGCACTGCCTATGGATGGAAGGAGGGCTATCTTCTAGATGAAAAAAACAAAGCAAAGGAGAAATAAATTAGTTGCCTAAGAACATACAACTGAAGTCATGGGCCTGTAATTTAAAACCAGACTTGATTCCTGCTCCTCAAAGGCTACACAGCTTAGGCTCACACCCATATGCATAAACACTAAGGAATGTTCATGCTCACAATTCTCACACTCTTACAAGTTCCTGTACACACAAGCGGCCCCCCTGTGCGTGCAGACACACACACACACACACACACACACACACACACACAGGCCTACACTCTCCCACGCCTGAGGCCTGTCAGCCACATTCTCCACGGCTCCCTCCCTTCAACAGGGACAGGGGCAGGCAGTCCACATTCCCAGGTTTCCGCCCTGACCCTGACCCCCGCCCCCCCTACTCAGAGCACACATTCCTGCTGCAGCCAGATAACCAGCCCCAAGGGGAGGCCAGGGGGAGAGCAAGGCATTCTGGGGGCCAAGCTGCAGGCCCTACTCTGGGCTGTCTAGACGCTGCTCTACTGCCTGGTAGGAGCTAGCTTTTCCTGCAGGGATAACCCCACTTCTCTAGACAGGCTAGCCCCAAGGCTTTCTTCCTTATTCCAGAGACTTTCTTAGGTCTAGAATTTCTGCTCCAGAAAGTCTTTCAACCCACCTTTTGGATGTAAAATCTCTTACAAAGTTAGGAGCTAGAACAGGATCTGGGAGCCTCCAGGACTCCTCTCTCCCTCCCCTCTTAAGAATCTTTCAGAAGGTGAAAGCCTGGGTTCCAGGCACCAACAGCCCCAAGGCAGCTTTCCCCATCTGGGGGGAGTAGGGGTTAATTCTCACAGCTCTGTTTGGGATACAGCCACTTGGCGAACTCAGCAGATCTGGAGCTATTTGCATACCCAGATGGCCAAGTCTGGAATTTCAAAGAATTCCCCAAGAAGAGGCAGCTGGCTTATGAGTAGTGGCTCTGGAGGCTCACAGCTGTTGGGCTAGAAGACTGGGGAGCCTGGGACCCCAAAACACAAGACATTTCATTTCTTAGGCTTTATCACTAGCCCCACAGTTCTGTTACTCCAGTCCCCAGGCCACCACCCCTCAGGGTATGAAAAGCTATGTCTGGTTGCCCAGAACAAGTGGACAGGCAAATGAGATTGGGCTAAATTGGTTGGAGTCACAGGGTCTGCCTTCCTCTGGCAAAAGGCAACAGTGAGCACCAGGTAGAGAGCGGCCAGAAATAGGGTCCCCTTGTTCACATAAAGCAATGGACAGACCTTTGCCCTCATGCAACCTGCAGCCAAGTGGGCAAAGGTCCTGGTCTGGACCTTACTAATCTGTCTACACACAAGAATATGGCTGCTATACCAATGGAGAGGGGAGAGGAGGGTTAGCAGTTTGATACTTCTGGCAGACTTTAAGGCTAGAATATTTACCTGTTTCCTCACTAAGCCTATGATGGAGCCTCCCTGAGGTAGTTCTAGATAAACTTGTGAGAAAAGCCAAGCCCAAACAGGCTTCCACACCCCAACAAAAGCCCCTCTCAGATTCTATCCAAACAGATTTACTGATCACCCACCTCACGGTTGTTACAGCTGTGGGTCAACACTGCCCTCTACTGGCCACTCAAGTACTAGCATCCATTTTAAGCAAATGCACTTCAGATATATCCTCTCCATCAGTGGGCACAGAAACTTTAACCCATCTATCTATAGTCAGTGGGTGTGGGACAGAAAAAGCAAGAATGAACCCAGGCACACAGTGGGTCAGAAATCACTAAGCCCCTTTCCCCAAAATTTATACCTGAAACTTCAAAAGAAAGTACCCTTTTTATACAGCTTGGAAGTTGATCTTACCTTCAAGAAACTACCTATCCCATAATCTCCCCTCACCCCTTCTCTTCTGCCCTCTCTTTTTCCTAAAGGAAGGATAGACTGAGATGACCTGGGGCCATCCTTCCAAAAAGGATGAAAAAGTTCCCTGGTTCTTTCGGTCACACTGAAATCCTGGGGGTCCTCTGAAACAAGTTCAGTTCTCCTCAAATTAGTTCAACATCCTGCAAGCACTCACACCTTTCAAAGATGGCAGCGATGCTGACTGGAGGTAGGGGAAATTGCTGAGAAAGACCTAACCAGTATTGCCTCTAATTGGCTGGGGGAAGTTCTGATGCCCCTTCTAACAGATAGGCAGCCTAGCTTTTGCTAACTATCACCCAAGATGGTGCTGGGTCAGGTGGTATTTGTGGACTGGTTCTAGAAAACCTCCAAGGAGCCCCAAGCTTTGGAGCTTCCAAAGCTACCCTAATTTCTTGTGGAAAACGTCAAGCTGAGAAAGCTGGCGATTTGGGGAGTGGTCGGTCTTGAGGTCAGCAAAACTAAGTCCTCCCTACTCGTATTCATTCCCTAGGGGTCCTACAATTTAGGGCAGGGGTGTACCCTTTAATAAACAGTCATGATTTTTCAGTTCTTAGGAAGAAATTCAATAGAACAAGTGACCCCAGGCAAGGAGATTAGTTCCTGGAAAAATGATAGCTACCACCACTCATATCCTTAGAAGTCTGAAAAGAATACACAGCACATTTACCAAGGTTGGCACTGCTCTTCCCTGGACAGCAGTTACCAGAGGCCTGGCCAGGCACTTAGTGGCTTCTTCTTGGCCTTTCCAAATGTAGTCAACCATTTGTTTGAGAGTACACCTTAGGGCAATCATGAGCCCTAGCCCTGGAAAAGGCATTCTACCAATAACTTACACAGGAGGTTAAAAACAAAAACCTCACTCAATAGAAAACTATTAAGTTTCTGTCTTGATGCTAAGATATTCATAGCTCTACCATCTGCTAAGAGGCAGAGTATACTTTGCCTTCAATCAGGTACAGCTCCACAAATAATTCAAAGATGAAAAGTGACCACTTACAAGAAAAATGTCGCCTCTGTCTCAACCAGTCCAGGAACAGTCACTGAGAAAGGGCAAAGCTGGTTGGTAACTGTGTTGTTATACATCACCTACTGAGATCCAAGGCCTTAAAGCTTTAGTAGTCCCATCTTTTGAACTTTCCTACTTATATTAACTAAGATAAAATATACAATAGCAATAATGGGGGAATTAATACTATTGTATAAATATTAACTCTGGCAAAGAGATCCCATAGCCAGTTTTCATATTTCTAAGCCCATCCCAGGAATTGGCCTGGAAATATTCAGAGTGCCTGATTATTAACCACTTATACCAGCCAGGGCTAAGTATGATTAGAAAAAGATTTTAAAGAAAGGCTTTTGTCGGGTAGTAAACTCAGAGCCACTTTTCATCTAAGTGCATACACAATATAAGGAAAAATTAAATAAGGAACAGGCTCTAGGAATGTCCCCAAGGTCTATTTTCTCTCCTTAGATGTGTATAAATGCATATTTGATAGTCTACTAGCTTCATAGTTATTTTCATATTAAAAATCTTTCTCTTATATAATATCACACCAACCAAAATAACCCATCATCACTTGAAATACAGTATTCACAAATGAAATCAAGAGGCAATGAGTTCTTAACACTGGTGACTCTTTTCTGCAGGGGCAATAAAGATGTTTATTTCTGAGTAGGAAGAAAATATATGCTCATAATTCAGAAGACCCAAGAACTGAAGAAAGTTCTATTAAAATCTAGCCACCAGGTGTTAAGGTGTACTGTAGAGCAGACTGAAACAAAACCCACAGTTTCACCTTAATTGAAAATAAGGAACAGTTTACAGCTGTACTGAAGAAATAATTCACCTCTCATGACAATCTACCTAGAACTCAAAATAATTTGTTGAGGCAAAGACTCAAAAAGTGTAATACTGGAGCAGTAGGAAGCATAATGATTGCCTCTATTGCTAGATCAGGGCAGAGAACATGAATCCCTTTCTCTGACCACCACCATAACCTTCTCTCTACAGTCCTCCCTGCCACTCCCTACCGCAACAGCCTTTCTTCCAAGTCTCTGTACTACCCGAAGTATAGAAACCAGCAGGACAACGCTAACTTTGACCACTGTCCAATAACAGAGCATGTATCTGAAATCATGTAGTTTCACAAAGAGAAACTACTCCAACTATAACTTGACCCAGCACTCCATGTAATTAAGAAGCAAAGCAAAGCAAAGGGAAACCATACAATTGACATTCCCTTAAACTACTGCCTCTCTAAGATAATCAGGGTTATTGCAAACAAGCTTTCACATGTGATAAAGCTGAGACACTCCCGTAAAAAGCAATGTGAGAACCATCCCGAGTGACACATACATTTATTTATTTATTTATTTATTTATTTAGTGAGAAGGGAAGGTACCTCTCTGACTGAGCCTTCATTCTGACCAAGGCATATATTTATGAAGTGAACCAAATATGCTCCATACTCAAATGAGCAAAACCAAACTGCATTCAAAGGTCTAATGTTTATGACTATGTAAATCCTTTCATTAGAAACTTGCACACCAGGATATCTTACTTAGCACTTAAAAAATACTTATGTAACTTTTTGTAAAAATATTTACATTTTGACCTAATAAATATAATGAACTGGCAGCTCTCTAAGATAACAAAGAATCAGCTTTAAGGATGTGTGCAACTGTCCCATACTCAACAGTACAGTTAATAGCAAGTCAAAAATTGATGAATTCCCACCTGCCCATGATAATGAGAATACAAGATAATTTTAAATTAGAGCTCAATTTTAACTCCTTTCCCCACAACTGTTAACAGTCAAACCTTCTTTGCAAGGTCAAGAATGCTAGAAATACTAATAAGTAGTCAGCAGCTAAAATGCAACACTTTAATAGTTTTCAGGTTATGTCACACTTTAGTTCTGAGATGGGAGAGTAGTGACACGGAAGATAAGACAAGTTGAACAAGTTTAAAACCAAAAGCAGTGGACATTTATTCCTCAATTTTTGTGCAAGAGTGTAAAGATGCATTTGAAAGAACCTAATGGCTAGTGAGCACCAGCCATGGCCTTCCGGCTGGCCAGGTTTACAATTAGATTAGAAGGAGGGGGAAAAGGTAACTTGCCTAGTTCACATGAAGGATGTTTCTGGCAAACACAGTTGTTTACAAGTTTCAAACTACATTTTACTAGAGTCAAGGGAAGACTTCAAAAAAGCCACATACAGTACAATTTAGAAATGAACATCCTGCAACGTTAGTGCAAAGTAATTGTGAAGACTCTCCAGTACAAGATTGTGCTCATGTTTCCCAGGTTTGGTCAATGTTGCTCTTTTACAATCACAGAAGCTTAACTTACCAAATAGCAATGACTTTGTTTTATGTCCTATGTACCAAGGGAATGTCACAAGGTTTTGGTGAAATGCACTTGGTTTCATTAATAAAGAAAATTTCTTATTTAGTTTAACAGTCATGTTCCTGGAATACTATACATATAAATTTCATGGAAAAGCTTTTAAGCTTATGCCCTTATCTTGTTCAGTGAAATTACTTTCAAGATATCCTTTTTACTATGTAAACTGGAATTGTTTCATGATTTTGAAATACAACCAGTATAAATGAAAACCAAAAGCAGTGGACATTTAAAGAATAAGGGGAAAATCCACCATTAATTTCAGCTAGATAAAGTTCTTAAAATCAAAAAGCCTATTCACACAAAATTATATGTAATGACTGTAGTAATCAGTTTATTACACAGATTAATCATTCTTGAACGTACAAGCTCCAGAGGAGCAACTGAGTCTTTAAATATACACAAGTATTTCCATCAAATGAATTTTCACCCTTACATCCAGAAAGACCTAAGCAGTTAAAAACATAAGAAAAATAAGAGCTATTAGCTATGTATTAACTGAGAAACCACATACAAACCAAAGAATATGGAAGAGAGAAAGGAGGGCCGAAAGGACGAGGATTACAGGGTGGGGTAATGTAAGAGGTGGGAACAAAGCCCATCACACTTCATATACTAATAGCTCCAATCCAGTTAAACTTAGACCTTACAATACAGGATGTGGGTAGATTTTAATCTAGTTGGTCATAACTTTCACCTAAGATGTAGGTCCTTCAGCATAAAACGAATACAGAAACAGCTTCATGTTCTTCGCCTTGCTTTTCGTATCAGTTTTGAGTTTAAAAGGATTCCACTTAAAAAAACATCTCCTACAGGTCAGTGGGCTTTTCTTTCCCATCCAAGCACACAACATACCCACCACCCCTCAACTTGCAGTTATCCAAATTTAAGTCAATAGGAAAGCTTTTAGTCTCACACCTAGTTATGTCTGAAGAACTGGCTTGTCACATACACACTTCTCTGCTAGGAGGCAATGTTGGTACAGAAGTACAGTATTTCTATTTGTTGTTCGAAGTATGTACAACACGCAGCACTGCTGTATCAGGTAAACATGTGCACAGGGGAAGATGAGGCGTGGGCTCATAGAAAGCAGTCAAATGGAAATCAAAAGGACTTTCTCTTTGAGAGTTCCCCTATCTTTATTTGTAGAGGTTATCCAATAATTTCTTTAATTACATCGCATACTTCTGAGTCCATTCCCGAGCTATTCTGTTGTACCTGTACACACAAAGAGAAACTTAGCTTAACACAGGTGAGAAGTCAGTCAGAAGACATCATTCATTATCCCATCTTTTATCCTCTCTCGTGTTCAGAATGTATTTTAACAATTTGGTTTCTAAAATGAATAGGTCTATTGCTCCAGAACATTCTAGTACTAAAAATAAGGAGGCCAAAAGGTTCTCTAATTCTTTTATTTAAAAAGGGATGCAGGCCCATCCAGTGTTGCCCAGTGATTGAGTGTCAACCCATGAACCAGGAGATCACAGATCAATTCCCAGTCAGGGCACATGTCTGGGTTGCAAGATCCATCCCCAGTAGTGAAAGGGGGACCTCCAGGAGGCAGCAATTGATTTTTCTCTCTCCCTTCCTCTCTGAAATCAATAAAAACATATTAGCCCTAGCTGGTTTGGCTCAGTGAACAGAGCACTGGCACCATGGACTGAAGGGTCACAGTTTCAATACCAAGTCAAGGGCATATACCTTGGTTGCAGGCTAGATTCCCATCCGTGTGGGAACAACCAATTGATGTGACTCTGTCACACTGATGTTTCTCTCCCCCTCTCTTCTACTTTCTCTAAAAATCAATGGAAAAATATCCACAGATGAGGATTAACAACAAAAACGTATTTAAAAAACAATTTAAAAAAAAAAAAAAAAAAGGAAAGCAGGCAAGTTCTTCTGAACATTACAACTGCAATGGCTTAGAAAATGCCTTTTTGTTTATACCCACAATTCCAGATATTTGACAAAATGGTTCTCCAATTTAAAAAAAAAATGTATTTGAATAAATTCACAAATAGAAAAAAGCATGATCTAGTTTTATTCTGAATGTAGCCAGAAATATATGACTACAGAGACTATTCAAACCTAAGTACAGACAAAACTAAACTATCGGGTCTAGTAATAATTAATGTCGTTTTTAAACATTCGTTTAAAATCTTGCTTGGCGTTGACTTGTATTGACATAACCTTCAAACACGTGGTATCTACAGAACATGTGAAGTGCAATTAACAAGTTTTGCTTGAAAAAGTTTGTGTTTGGTTTGGTTTTTGTTGCAAAACTAGGGCTAAGAAGATGGCGGATGAAGAGCATATTCGGCACTGCATGCTTTATGAGTTCCAATTAGGAAGAAAAGCAAGTGAGGCTGCAAAAAACATCTGTAGTGCTCTTGGTCAAGATGCAGTTAGCGCCAGAAAATGCCAGCGTTGGTTTGAGAAATTTCGCGAGGGAAATTTTTCGTTAGATGACAAGAGTGGTCGAGGCCGTGTGTCCAATTTTGATCAAGAAGCTCTTCAAGCTCTTTTGGTGCAAAATCCTCAAATTACCCAACAAGAGCTTGCGACAACTTTAAATTGTTCACAGAAAACAATTTCCAATCAATTGCGTGCACTTGGCAAAGTCCAAAAGTTTGGAAAATGGGTTCCTCATGAGTTGACCGACAACAACCGTAATCAAAGAGTCACAATTTGCAGTTCGCTCCTCTCTCGTCAAAACCGTTTGCCGTTTTTAGAGCAAATTGTTACTGGAGATGAAAAATGGATGCTGTATGTTTTTTGAAAAGGCGGCCTCAATGGTTGGACAAAAATGAGGCTCCGCAGCCCACGCCAAAACCTGACTTGCATGCGAAAAAAGTGATGTTGTGTGTTTGGTGGAATTTTAAAGGAATTCTTCATTATGAACTTTTACCATCTAACCAAACCATTACAAGTGCAGTGTATAGTGCCCAATTGGAAAGGTTAGCCCAAGCTTTAAGAGAAAAAGAACCCGCGCTGATTAATCGGAAGGGTGTAATTCTTCACCACGATAACGCACGACCGCATACTGCAAGAATCACTGCTGAAAAACTGCGCCAGTTGGAATGGGAAGTTCTCCCTCAACCTGCATATTCTCCTGATATTGCCCCTTCCGATTACCATTTGTTTCGTTCTTTGCAAAACTTTCTTCTTGGAAAAAAATTTAATAATGAAGAATGCCTCAAAAATGCATTGACCGAATTTTTTGCATCAAAATCACAAGAATTTTACAACAGAGGGATTAAAATGCTTCCTGAGTGTTGGGCACAAGTAGTAGAAAACAACGGCAACTATATTGTTGATTAAATTTTGTTGTATTGTTTAAATAAATTCGATTTAAAAAAAGTATTAGAAAACGACATTAATTATTACTAGACCTAATAATAACCAACTGCTGTTACAATCCCCCAATGCTCCACTTAAAAATATGTCATCTAGCCTTGGTTGGTGTGGCTCGGTTGGGTGGAGTGCCGTCTCATACACCAAAAGGCTTCGGTTTCAGTCCACAACTGGGGGGGTGGAGGGGATAGTACAAGAGGCAGCCAATTTATGTTTTTCTTTCTCTTTCTTTCTCTCTCCCCCCCCACCCCCACTTTCTCTGCCTTCTTTTAAAAATAAACAAAACAAATTCCTGGGTGAAGATCAAGAAAACACACACACACACACACACACACACACACAAAAATTATATCTATATGCCTATCTTACCCAGTAGAATTTAAATAATTCTTTATATTTTAACTTCAGAAAATTATCCACTTTTCCCCACCTATTTCCTCCTATTTTAATGAATATACCCCCCAAAAAGATCAGAATACTTTTAGTTACTATTTCTTTGGATATCCTGACCCTTGTTAACAGTTTATAGTACAATTCCAAAATATGTTAATTCTACATTAGGTTTTATTTTTTTTTAAGGAAATTTTGGGTTTTCATGTCTGGTGGTATTTATTTTCTTTCTTTTTAAAATTATACCAAATGGTAGAAAAACAATTTTCTTTCCCCATTAATTTCCAAATAGCTAAGAAAATTGGGCTCTTGATGCAAAATGAGTTATATATCAAAAGCCAAGAAGACATAAAACTGTTGAAAATATAATGCAGAAAAGTTTCTCTAGGCCAGCAGTCACCAACCTCATGGTGGTTTAAGGAAACCTTTGGAGCAGCGGTCACAGGTCACCACTGGTGGTCTGTGAAACAGGAAAGGTTGGTGACCACTGTTTTAGACAGTAGGAGTCATATGAAATAATTAAGAGATAATACCAGCTCTGGCTGGGAAGCTCAGTTGGTTAGAGCATCGGCCTGATACAGCAAGGGTGTGGATTCCATCCCTGGTCAGGGCAAATACAAAAACCAACCAATGAGTGCATTAATAATAAGCAAAACAACAAATTAATGTTTCTCTCTCTCAAATCAATAAAAAGTATCAGTGTCACCTACATATAATGGTATCAATGCAAATACTCCTCTTTTCTATCCCCAGGTGAGTGTATTAGGATTTCATTTTCAATATCTGATCTATACCCAGCCCTTAGTTAAGGAAGATTTGAGTCCCAAACATCTCTACCCTACCACAGGTACTTTTCTGTATGGTGGCCATACTTACTTTTCTCTATCTGTTTTGTAGATCCGAGCAATCTCAGGCACTAAAGGATCATCTGGATTAGGATCACACAACAGAGAACAGATGGACAAGAGTACTAGAATGAAGAAAACATATAAATTAGTAAGAATAAAAGCAAAGAATTCAAAGAAACATGAGGTGCCAACACATGAGAAAATTCTAAGAATTTATTTATATTGCTGTGCCTAGCAGCTTTGTTAAGCTCTACTTCTAACTTTATAGTTACAGTAATCAACAAAGATTATAAGATTTCTCTATGCTTAAATCCCTAAGGAAATTAACCCAGGCTGGTGAAGTGACTTGCCCAATGTCCCATTAGTTAGTAATTATAGTGAAATTAGAATCCAGGTCTTCCAAATCCCGGACCAATGACACTTTTTCAGAGCTCATAAACTTTAATCTTTTAGAAACCCATGTTCAGGAATAAATGGCTTTCAAAATTCCAAAGACAACCACACTAATGAATGTTCTTAGTCAGAAACCACCAACATGAAATCCAACAATCACTGCTTTCTCAATGGCAGATATTACATTCAGATGCAATGGATCTGTGTCATTCTCAGTTGAAAACAATTTAATCCAAGAACATAAAGGTTAGTATTTGCCCCCAAATGGGGCTAGCCATACTTATTACAAAGGGTACAATACACTTCTACTAAAGTCTCAAATTCTTTACAGTGACGATTTAGAATCTCATCTAAGCAGAAAATCTCAATAGCACAATTTCCTCGGTTAAATTCTTTGTTAATTTATGTACTTATTATTGAATGTAAAAAGAAAGCCAAGACCACTAATTACATAAAATACAGTGGCTTCTGGTATACTGAAATAAATCCCAATCCTTCTATTCTGAGACTAATAGAACTCAGCTTTAATGTTTGGTAGCAAGCGATAATAATTCTGATCTCACTTTACTCCCAAAACATCAATTTAGCAGGAAAGGATTTATTCATTTTCCTATCAAGTCTATTTTGTAGAGATCAAGGGCTTCTGAGAGGTAAAGAAAAAGTTTACATGCCCTTTATCATTCAGTTTAACAAAAAAAGCTATTTCCTTGCCTTAAGAATATATGGAAAATAAAAAACATCAGGGAAGATGTTTTCTGACTCTTCATTCCTGTTGCCCACAATTCTGGCAGATGGCATTCCCAAAACATCTTCTCTTCCCATTGTCAGGTATATCACCTGATGCCCTCTTCAAGCACAGAACATCCTAACAGCAATTAGGAAAGATTTCATGTATTTCCTGGAAATGACAACAGGGAGTTATAGATTTTTGAATGTTCATGAAATTACTGACTATAAAAAGAAGAAACTTGTCCAGCCTATCAAACTGGGAAGAGTTCAACTGATTCTTCACCTAAAATTAGACATACTACCAAAACAGTATCAGTTACCAATTTTATTTTTTTTATTAATATATTTTTCATTGATTTCAGTGAGGAAGGGAGAGGGAGAGATAGAAATCAATGAGAATCATTGATCAGCTGTCTCCTTAACACCCCTGACTGGGGATTGAGCCCACAACTGGGGCATGTGCCCTTGACCGGAATCGAACCTGGGACTCTTCAGTTCATAGGCTGATGCTCTACCCACTGAGCAAAACCTGCTAGGGCTAAATTTTTCTTTATTTACAATTCTGATTATTTCAATAAGGCTACTTTTAAAAGATACATTTTAAAGAAATAACTTGTCTTACTTTCTTTCCAGGAAAGGAAGCTGGAGTGGTGGTTATCTGGACCTGGTAAAAGGATTCTTAGTATACTACTTAGTTCCTTTAATTCACAGAAAATTGATTTTGCCTTATAATCCAATTTGTTAAACTGAATGCCTTATATACCTTCTTTCGCTGTAAAGAAACTAACTCCTATTTCTATTACAACCTGTATAAACTTTTCACTGAAATAACTAATTTTTCACCTATGTATACATCTTCATCTGCATATATTCATTTTCATTAGTGTCATAACCCAGTCACTTCCAATTCTAAAAACATATAACAAAGAGGCTTTATGGCACATTTATCTAAGTTTTCAATATATTCAGATATCTAACATATATAGTCAGAGTAGAGAGAAATTCGAGTCAAAATTATGGCCCTTGAAAGCAGATTATATTAAAGGGAAAATTGCCCTGACTGATATTGCTCAGTGGTGAGCGCGTTGGCCTGAGCACTGAAGGATTGTAGGTTTGATTCCCTATCAAGTGCACACACTTGGTTTACATTAATCTGTCTTGATATCTCTCTCTGTCCTTTCTCCCCTCCTCTCCCTCACTCTCTTCCACTAAAAATCAATGAAAAAATAAAATCCTATGGTGAGGATTAACAAAGAAAGAAAGGAAAAGAAGAAAATAATTATTTACAACAGGACTCAGGTCTTTCACAGAATTGCTTGCTTATACATTCCATTTACAAAAAGGAATCATTAAAACATTAAACCTAGACACCCTGATATAATCAAATTCACTAAAATAGCACTGCAATGATTTTAAACGATAGCTACCCAAATAGAAGGAACATTAAGTCAAATAAAACTAGCAGCCCCTTATGATTGAGAGTAACTGAAAAATCAACACTAGGCACAGAAGAGGAAGGAAAAAAAAATCTGTGGTAACAATTTCAGCTATATAGACCTTCCAACCCCCCTCCCCCCGCCACACACACTATTCTACCTCTCTTGGTCCCGTAATTTTACTAAATTTATTTCTCTACTGCTAACTGCTACTTTGTGCAGGAAGAGCAAGCAGGCCAGGAAGTCACAAGAAAAGTATATGAACACTTTCACAAGCAGCCCATGACTTACAAAGGGCCTACAAAAAGAAAAGAGGCTACTTATCTGATAAACTATATTACAATCTTTTAAAACGTGGTCCTCTAGTTCTTTGTTTTTGATTTTTGCCTAGAACTCTCCCCCCCACAATTTTAATTTAATGCCCCAGAGTTCTTGTTTCCTTTAAAAAAATTAATGTCAGAATATACAAGTTTTATAATAATTATAACATGACAAATATACACTTTGTACAATAATACCTTTATCCCAGTTATGTGAGTGCTTATAAGGAATCAGATAACTGTGCATTTTTGCTTTTTCAATCTTCATAACAACAATGAAATAGTAATTATCATTCCTATTCTCTACATGAAAGAAAGAAAACAAGCTTATTTGTCTAAAGTCTTATTCAATAAGAGGTGAAGCTGATATCTGAATATGGGTAGTTAGAACCAGAATGAATCTATGTTCTTTAACATGAAACTATGCTGCCTCTGTCTAAATGTGTACATTAAATAAATGATAAACTATAAGATGGAAAATAAAAATATTTTTATACACCAAATTTCAGCACCCAAATACCCAAACTGTTTCTTTGTACCTATTTTAACATACTTTTCTATATAACTTAAATTAGTGTAAATTAATCTTATCTTTTTTTTTTTTTTTTCAAGCACAGCATTTCCCCATTTTCACAATATCTGTAAGGATCAATTTTCTTTTATTTTTAAATATATATATATTTTTATAGAGAGGAAGGGATAGGGATAGAGAGCCAGAAACATCAATGAGATAGAAACATCAACCAGCTACCTCCTGCAAACTCCCTACTGAGTATGTATTGTACTTGCAACCAAGGTACATGCCCTTAACTGGAATCAAACCTGGGACCCTTCAGTGAGCCAAAATGGTTTCAGCCAATCCTCTTTTAAATGCATGTGTTAGAACTTATTTATTTCTTCCTCTATGGTTGGGCCTGTAAATAATTCCTAATTTTCAGAAATAAATAACACTGCCACAAATGTACTTGCACACAATGTTTTATTATTTTTTATTATTGGGGTTGTTTTCTTATTACAAATGAATAAAACCAGAATTACTGGGTCAAAGAGTATTAATTATTAAGTCTAATCTCTTAATACATCCTGGGCTATACAAACCTATACTTCTATAGTATATGAATACTCATTGTAATGTACCTTATCAGCATTTAGTTTTCTTTTTGAAAGATCTTTGTTAATTAAAAAGGTGAATAATGGGGACTATAAATTTCTTTATTTTGTCCCTTTCTGTCCTCTCATCCACTGGAATCTACGTTTTTTTTCTCTTACTGATTTATATGTTATTTGTATTATAAACATATTAGCCCGTTATCTTATTTACTACAGGCCCAGTGCATGAATTTGTGCAACAGTAGGGTCCCTCAGCCTGGCCTGCGGGATCGGATCAGGCTGAAACCGGCTCTCTCACATCCCCCAAGGGGTTCCAGATTGTGATAGGGTGCAGGCCAGGCCTTGGGACCTCACTGGTGCATAATTAGGATTGGAGAGGGACAAAGGAGATTGGCCAGCTGGGGAAGGACCATGGGAGGACTCTAGGGCGTAGCCAGCCTGTCTTGCTGTCCTGATTGGCCAGACTCCAGCAGCAAGCTAACTACCGATTGGAGAGTCTGCCTCTGGTGGTCAGTGCATGTCATAGCGACTGGTCAACTGTCTGCCCCCTGGTGGTTAGAGCACATCATAGTGAGTAGCCTTAGCATATCATTAGCATATTATGCTTTGATTGGCTGAATGGATGACCAGATGACTGGATACTCAGCATATTAGGCTTTTATTATATAGGATGGTGCTGGAAGCCAGTTCCAGCATGTGATAATTGCAAGAGTTTCATCAAAAGGTTGATGGAACTTGGGGACTCAACAAGGGCTGAGTCACATATGGTATCACATGTTGGGAATAGGTGAAGGCATTTCCCCCTGACCTGAATAGGATCATTATTTGCTGCCAGGGCATCTTAATCTACATGTTATTGCCTCCTGTTGGCCAAACACCTGAACAGCAGTAGACTATTCCCCATTCTGACAATGCTTCTGTACAGAAACCCTACCCTTCCACTTTGCCTTAGGACAGTTTGTGTTAATAAAAAGCAAGGGATCCTGAGACAAGGAGAAGTTAGCTCCTTTAGTTGAAGCTCCTCTGAACCCCAATGCCTTTCAAAATTATCTTTCGTCTCTGGACTCTTACTTCAGTTACACACAGCTTTTCTCCAGGTTACTGAACCCTTCTTAATGATGAAACAAGAACCCCGGCAGGATGGCCTATGGCTTATATTTGTATTTTGACAACTTTAATCCACTTGTGATTTCATTTAGGTATGATATTGAAAGGTGGCACAATTTCAAATCAACACAATAGATAAAGTTTATTAATTACCCAATCATCTCACTGACATTAAAAAAAAAAAAATCCTGGGGCTGGGTAAAAAAGGCTTAAGAACTAAAAATTTGTAGTCATAAAACAGTTCCAGGAGTATAAAGTACAGCATGGGGAATATAGTTAACAATCCTAATATATAAAGAGCCAGGGTCCGTAACGTCCAAAACGACCGAATGGACAACTGAATGCCAGGCTGCACATGCAGCAGGCTTGGGTGGGTGGGGACTGGTGAGCGGGATGAACTGCTGACCTCTCGGTCCCTCCTGGGTCGCGGGCACTGTGGTGGCTCAGCACTGACTGCCGCTGCCATCACTCCATGAACGCCCCACAGAGGGAGGCTCAGGCCACCTGCCAGGGGGCTCTGCAATTGTCCCAAAGAGGGAGGCCTAGGCTACCCAGCTGGCAGTGGTGGGCGGGGCCTCCCTCTGCAGGGTGATCAATCAAGGGGCTCCCGGACTGTGAGAGGGTGTAGGCCAGGCTGAAGAACCCCCAACCCCCGAGTGCACGAATTTTGTGCACCAGGCCTCTAGTATTGTAATAACCATGTATGGTGCGCCAGGTGAGTACTTGAAATATCCAGGAAGACCACTTTGTAAAGTATACGATTACCTAACCACTGTGCTATACACCTGAAACTGATACAAAATAATACTGAATGTAAACTGTAACTGAAAAATAAGATGTTATAATATGGAAAAAAAATCCCCAATCTACTCATGCAATTAATGTCTTATTTAGAAGAACTACTGGACCTTTCATTACAAAATTAGTAACTAACTTTCTCTATACATTTTCAAACACACAGGCAACTATACACCAAAGATTGTTAAGATGCTCAAATAAAAATTTATTTTCCAACCTATAGTATTTAGAATAGCAAAATGGACAGAGTAGTCACAATCACAAAGAAATAATAAATATACTTGAAAATCCAATGCTCTCCATGCGTCTCAAGATCTATTATTTTAAAATAAGGGGAATTACTACATCCTGTTACAATAAGTATAAGTAATACTTAAAAAAAAAAAAAAAACTTTTAAAACACATTGCTTTATGTTGATATTGAATATCTATTCCATTACCTTTTGAAATAGTTAGTGCTGGAGACCACTGTGACCGCAGAATATCAAGACAAATGCTGCCATTACTGTTAATATTTGGATGATAAATTCTTGTTGTAAATGCAACCTATAGAAAAAAAGAAAAACATTTTTGTAAACTGGTTTATTAATATCATATGAAACACATTAAAAGCAATTAACATATCCCAATTACCTTAGGTGGTTTGAAGGGATAATCTGTTGGGAAATGAATTGTCAAGAAAAATACTCCACCCTGATAGGGACTGTCATTCTGTTGATAACAAGAAAAGTGGGATTAAAATGAATGAATTACATAAACTATTTATTCTAAAATTAATGTGAATACTTACTGGCCCCATTATTGTAGCTTGCCAATGGAACACTGGAAAAGAACAACAATAAAATTACCACGAAGCAATATCTGCACTGTACCTACATCATAATCTGTTCATTTATAAGCAATATGATGAGTCTTGGGCTGGATGAGGAATCTAAATAAAATTTTTGAGCCTGAAGTGAGAAAAAGGACTAGCATGGTCTAGCCCACTGATAAGATGCTCAATGAAAAAGTATTTGGGCTGAAACATGAAAATTCATGTCAAGGAGACAGAACTCTTTGACAAGCTTCAAAGTTCCACTTTTAAACAGATATTTCCTCACCTCAAAGGGTAAAAAAGAGCCAAAAAATTCAATTCTTTGATGTGTTACATCATTTCCCCAACACAAATATATATAATTTACTCTGAAGTAGATAATACTCAAATTAAGAAAGAATAGTTTTTACAAATGAGAAACGATTTCTAAAAGCTCTCTGTGTAGATCCTTAGAATTATTGGTTTCACAATTTAAAAAAAATTAGCTGAAAGCTTCAAGCTTAATTATAAGTTCCAAGGAAAAGCCAAAGAAATTATAAAGTTGCATAATAATGACATATTCTCTTCAGACAGCAAAAAATGACGCTTGTTCCATTTCAAAGGTGGTGTAACTAAGTACAGTATAGAACCCCAAAAGCCAGAATTTTCACTTACAAGCAAGCTACTAAGCACCTAACATTCATACTAAGATCTTGGCAAACTAAGAGATGTTATCACTGAGATTACATGTGAATAACCCAAACCAGGTAGGTTGTCACAAGTAGGAAATGTGAACGCTAAGAAGTCATATGAAAATCCTCTGGAATGTCAACCCATATCCTCTACCTCTGCATATGAAACTATGACTATGATTTTTTTGCTCCTCACTGAGGCCTGAACCCACAAATAGTATCCTGTTTATTATGAAAAAAAATGAAGGACAGGTATTGCTGAGGCTTCCCTTCTTAGAATACCCATTTTCTGCCAATCAACTTTAAAAAATATATATATTTTAATTGATTTGTTTTTTGCGGAGAGGAAGGGAGGGGGATAATTAGAAACATCAATGAGAGAAATATTGTTTAGCTGCCTCCTGCACACTCCCTACTGGGGATGTGCCCGCAACCAAGGTACATGCCCTTGACTAGAATTGAACCTAGGACCCTTCAGTCCACAGGCCGACGCTTTATCCACTGAGCCAAACCAGTTAGGGCTGCCAATCAACTTTTAAAAAAATATGGTTTTATTGATTTTTAGAGAGGGAAGGAGAAAGATGGTTAACATTGATGGCTGCCTCCTGCACACCCCCTACTGGGGATCATTCCTTTTGTGGCTGAGTAATATTCCATTGTATATATATATACACCACCTTTTGTTTATCCCTTCATCAGTTGTTGGATATTTGTGATGTTCACATTTTTTGGCAATTATAAATAATGCTTCTATGAACATTTACGTACAAGTTTTTGTGTGAACATATGTTTTCATTTCTCTTGGATATATGCCTAAGGAGTGAACTCACTGGGTCACATATGGGTTAACTTTTTGAGGACTTGCCAGACTGTTTTCCAAATTGGCTGTACCATTTTTGTGTTCTGATCAGCAATGTATGAAGGTTCCAATTTCTCCATCTGCTCATCAACACTTGGTATTACAGTGGAACCTAATTTCTTGAACTTAATTTATTCCGGAAGGCCATTCAAAACCCAAATCAGTTTTCCCCATTAGAAAGAATGTAAATTGAATTAAGCCATTCCAGACCCCCAAATGATTACCAATTTTAGCCTTTCTTATATACAGTATTTACTGTTTAACCTATAAACACTTTAAAAACAAAAAGAACATGAAATGTAAGTGAAAATTAACAAAAAGGAAATGAACCTTAAAAATTGAAAATTTAACTATTATTATAAGCAGCGACAAAAGCAAAAAAATATGAGAACATTCACAGCGCAATATATTGAAATTTTAATGGTAAACTGACTCATAATCATGCATTCTCTGTCTGTCACCTGAGAGGTGCGTGACTGATCATACAGGTATCAGCAACAGGAAAGGGTTGTCAATTGAGAAGTGAATTGAGATGGCAGATGCTCAAGAAACAAAGTTCCACTGTATTTCTTTTTTAAAAAATATATATTTTATTTATTTTTTATAGAGATGAAGGGAGAGGGATAGAGAGCTAGAAACATCGATGAGAGAGAAACATCGACCAGCTGCCTCCTGCACAACCCCTACTGGGTATGTGCCCGCAACCAAGATACATGCCCTTGACCGGAATCGAACTGGGACACTTCAGTCCGCAGGCTGATGCTCTATCCACTGAGTCAAATCGGTTTCGGCTGTATTTGTCTTTTTTATTCTAGCTGTCCTAGTGGGTATAAAGTGAAATCTGCCATTTCCTTAATGACTAATGATACTGAGCATCTCTCCATGTGCTTATTGGCCACTTGTGTATTTTCTTTGGAGAAATGTCTATTCAGATCCTTTACCCATTTTAAAACTGGGTTGTTTGTATTGTTGAATTTTAGTTTTTATAAATGTATTTTGGATAAATGTGACTTATCATAAATTATGACCTGCAAAATTTTTCTCCCAAACTGTGTCTTTTTGCTTTCTTAAAGCACCTAGATTTTAAATTTTGATGAATTCTAATTTCTCTCTCTCTTTTTTTTTCTTTTATTACTTATACTTTGGGAGAGTTTTATTTAACTCTCTGAGGTAACAAGTTTTCTATCTGAGAAATAAATGTGGTAGCATTAACTAGTTTGGAAGCAAAGGAAAATTACTTAAGCACACTGAAGAGAATTTAAAAAAATGAAATTTAATCCCCAGACCTTAAATACTTTCAAGTAAAGATTAGCTATTCTCAACTTTGAGGAATTTGTCTGAAGTAAAACCACTTTTGAAAGAGCAAACAAATGCAGGTACACTATATAATAATGTGGAATGACAACTAGAATCATGAAACTTAAATATGAGATTACCCTGGGAACCTCTATGAATCTTGCACTAGATTTTTCTCTAAAATAGTTCACAACTTCTAACTCCACTCATCCAAACTATTATTGTGAAGCTTAAATGAGATAACATTTTTTTAAGTATTTGGCCTATCCTGTTTAGTATCAAATACTATAGTTACTAATACTGGACAGGTCTAAATATAATATTGCAAATGAGATTTTTCATCACATGCACTTGGTCTCATACTTTACTTGAGGCCTGGTATATGAATTCATGCACCACTGGGGGACCCTTGGCCTGGCCTGTGGGATCAGGCTGAAACCAGCTCCCCGACATCTCCCAAGGGGTCCTGGATTGTGATAGGATGCAGGCCAGGCCCTGGGTCCCCACTGGTGCACAATCGGGGCCAGGGAGGGATGCAGGAGATTGGCCATCCAGGGAGGGACCATGGGAGGGCTCCAGGGTGTGTCTGGCCCATCTCACTCAGTCCCAATCAGCTGGACCCCAGCAGCAAGCTAACCTACCATTTGGAGCATCTGCCCCCTGGTGGTCAGTGAATGTCATAGCAAGCAGTTGAGTGGCCTTAGCATATCATTAGCATATTGTACTTTGATTGATTAAACGAACAACCAGACCCTTAACATATTAGGCTTTTATTATATAGGATAATATCTATCTTTTATCTGTAAAGCAATTCTTATAATAGGACCTCACTTTGATTCTTATGGATTTAGCAAACTAAAAACACCATTTCTTTTTAGTATGTTTTTAATAATTTTTAGAGAGAGGAAAGGAGAGGGAGAGGAAAATATCTATTAGCTGCTTCCTAAACAGCCCCTAGTGGGGATTGAGCCTGCAACCTGGGCATGTGCCCTGACATCAAACAGAACCAGTGACCTCATGGTATATCAGAGGATGGCTCAACGGAGTCACACCAGCAAGAGCTATAAACACCATTCTTAAGAAATATCAGGAAAAAGTAGGTTTTAAACAAGATAATATATAACTTCATGTTTACTTGTCTTAATCTATACACTTTTCTTAAATGTTTCTAAGTATGCTCATTTTTTCTATTTGCTAAATATTTCATTTTTTGGTGAGTTTTGTGTAAAAAAGTGAGTCTTATTCACTTATCTTCCCTTTTATAAAGGCTAGATGATGGTATAGCCAGATAATGGTATATGGGGGGAAAGCTACGTTGAGACAAAGTAGAATGAAAATTATTATCCAACATATATGGTAAGATTAAATAAATTATTTTATTTATTTTTATATATTTTATTGATTTTTTACAGAGAAGGAGAGGGATAGAGAGTTAGAAACATCGATGAGAGAGAGACATCGATCAGCTGCCTCCTGCACACCTGCTACTGGGGATGTGCCTGCAACCACGGTACATGCCCTTGACTGGAATCGAACCTGGGACCTTTCAGTCCGCAGGCTGACGCTCTATCCACTGAGCCAAACCAGTCTCGGCTAATAAATTATTTTAGACAGGATTAAACAGATATATTGAACATTAAAAATAAGCAAACTGGCTGAAACAGGTTTGGCTCAGTCCCCAGTGGGGGGTGTTCAAGAGGCAGCTGATCGATGTCTCTCTCTTATCGATGTTTCTAACTATCCCCCTCTCTTCCTCTCTGTAAAAAAATCAATAAAATATATTAAAAAAAAAAAAAAAAAAAAAAAAAGCAAACTGGCTCTGGCCAGTATGCTTAATGATTAGAGCGTCAGCCCATGGATCTTATGATTGATGGTTTGATTCCCAGTAAAGGGCATGTACCTTAGTTGTGGACTCGATCACTGGTGCAAACAGGAGGCAACCACTGATATCTCTTTCTCCCCCCCCCCCCCCCCACTTCACCTCCCTTCCCTTCTCTCTCTAAAAATCAATGAGAAAAAAAATCATCGGGTGAGAATTAAACAAATTTAACAACTAAGCAGATTGTACCCATATTCACAAGTATGAGCCAGCAGAAAGACAGACACATGCATATACACAATCATCCTTAGTATTATCTTATTAAAGAGCAATACCTAGTTATACTAATATTACCCAGATGGAGTGATTCAGGTGATTGAGCATCATCCTGTGCACAGAAGGGTTGCTGGTCTGATTCCTTGTCAGGCCACATACCTGGGTTGCCAATTTTCATTGTCAATTAGGGCACAGTTGGGGCACAAATATAAGGCAACTGGTCACTGTTTCTCTCTCTCCCTTCCTCTCTATGCATATTCTCAGATGAAGATTAAAAGGGGAAAAAAATAATCAGATGGGGTGAAAGATAGATGGAAGGGGTCAGAATAATTACACAATGTCTGGCAAAAGAGGTTCCAAATGTAATGAACAATACAGAAGATGATGGGATATACACAGAACTGCATCTATCATGGACAAGTAAGGGTAAACACTACCTCTTTCTTAAAGCAAAATTACCCTTCACCCAAAATAACCTTAGGAGAGGTAATCCATCAGTTCTCAAGTTCCCAGAGGCAAGTTATTATACTCTTTTACTCCATCATTCCTTTTAAATACTTACTATCATCTCCAACAGGACCTGCTGAACACTGTGCTGGGGGGTCCCGTGCCAGGTCATTCAATTCCTTAAGAAAGGAGAAAGAAGAAATGTATTCAACATAAATCTAACTGTTACCCATTAATACAATGTTTCACTATCACAGTATTCTCTGTACCACCAGTAAAGCTCTGTTGGGAACACTCCTTCAGAGCCAGAGAGAGGTGGGTAGCTTAAAGTATTTTAGATTCTTAAGTACAAATGTATGTTTTAAGTAGTGGATCATTTTTACTTACAGTTCAGTAAGCAAATATAAGTTAACATGATTATGTGACTAGAGTCACAAAACTATAAAGTTACACTTAAAGCTCTTGAAATCATTAATATTCCAAATTATATGAGACCATCTAACAAGATATCTACCACCAGGGTTCCAAAGGTAGTAGAAGAAAACTTTTAAAAGGATACATTAAAAACGCTGACTGAAGTAATAAGACCTGCAATAAAGTTTTATAATCAGAGATGGTCTATCAATGCTAGCTTCTTAGCTATCTATATACATAACAGGCTAATATGCTAAATGTCCCTCCGACCAACCGACTGGTCATTATGATGTGCACTGACCACCAAATGCTTAACGCAGGAGCTGCCGTGACACCCACTGGCCATTTACAAAGAATCAGCACCACAGACCTGGCACACTGACAAAGCCACACCCGGCTTCTCCCAAGTGGGACACAGGCCCCGCTACCACCCCGGAGCAATGCCCCATCACATCACAGCCAACACTGCCAAGACAGACCCCATGGCACAAAATGTGGCCCACAGCCCAACCCAGCCTAGAAAAGGTGGCTTTGGTCCCTGGGTAATGATGTCATGTAGCATCACCTGGCTTTCTCTCCCTAGCAACTAGTCTCCTTGAAGATTCTTCAGACCAGGAACATGACTAGCTTTGTAGCTAGGTGAAACATTTTACACTTTAACCAAATGTCTGTGAAGTGTTTTCACATGCCTCATCTTATTTGATCCTCACAGAAGTCCTGGAGTAGGTAGATAGGAGGCTCAGTAGAATCCTATTTTCTTTTCATTAGCCAGAAAACGGAGATTTAGAAATTTTAGAAACTTGACCTGACTGAAAAGAAGAAATGGTGGAACTTGAAAATAACTTCAGGTTTTCTCACTGCACAGAATATAGTTAAACATTGCTACAAATATTTCACCATTTGTTCTCCCTGCATGATCTGCAATAATACTAATCTGCTTCATGTTGATATTTATTGCTGTGTTGCTCACAACTACCTGAACGAGAAGCTGGGCTGGAAAAAGTTTAGCTAAATCAGAAAGCAGTTCTAATTAAACAAGTTTATCTAAATACTAGAGGCCTGGTGCACAAATTTGTGCACAGGTGGGGTCCCTTGGCCTGGCCGGTGATCGAGATCCATCAGGACCATCTCACACAGTCCCTTTGGAGTGATCATGGCCAGCTGGCACGGGAGGTTGGCCAGCCACAGGAGGTTGGCTATGGAAGTGCACTGACCCCCAGGGGGCAGCTCCTGCATTGAGTGTCTACCTCCTGATGGTCAGTGTGCATCATAGCCACCAGTCATTCTATCACTTTGGCTTTTATATATATATATAGATATAAAGCTCTCGCTGGTGCCAATCTCACATGTGTGTTTCCATCTGTCATTGTCGATCATGAATTTGGTTGACACTTCTATTATAGGAAAAGGGCGAATAATGATATTAAAATATTTCCTCTAATTAATTTCCTTTCAATGTGCATGAATTTGTGCACCAGGCCTCTAGCTTTAACATAAGAGCCCACAAACTTGAGCCGAGACCGGTTTGGCTCAATGGATAGAGCGTCGGCTTGGGACTGAAGGGTCCCGAGTTCGATTCCGGTCAAGGGCATGTACGTTGGTTGCGGGCACATCCCCGGTAGGGGGTGTGCAAGAGGCAGCTGGTCGATGTTTCTCTCTCATCGACGTTTCTAGCTCTCTATATCTCTCCCTTCCTCTCTGTAAAAAAATCAATAAAATATATTTTAAAAAAAATAATGTAAGAGCCCACAAACTTGAGATTTGTTACTGGGTAGAGATGCCTAAAAAGTTCAAGACAGGACCCTGACCAGTTTGGCTCAGTGGATAGAGCATCAGCCTGCAGACTAAAGGGTCCTAGGTTCAATTCCGGTCAAGGGCATGTACCTTAGTTGCGGGCACGCACAAACAAACAAACAAACAAACAAAAAACCCTAACTGGTTTGGTTCAGTGGATAGAGCGTTGGTCTGTAGACTCAAGGGTCCCAGGTTCGATTCCAGTCAAGGGCATGTACCTTGGTTGCGGGCACATCCCCAGTAGCGGTGTGCAGGAGGCAGCTGATGGATGTTTCTCTCTCATGGATGTTTGTAACTCTCTCTCCCTCTCCCTTCCTCTCTATAAAAAAATTAATAAAAAATACTTTTAAAAATTCAAGGCAGAAAATCACACTGTATTCCCTTTCCCCCTGGCTTGGTATTTGAGATAAAATTAAGCTCTGGGGAAGGACTAATTTAGATTTTATTTTAAAAATATAACAGTAAAATCCAATAGTTTTAATACAATAAAAATTATTTAGAATCTTACTAATTAGTTAACTAGGGTATGTCTTTAATATTTCAAATATTATATACTTTTAAATTTGCAGTAGAATAGTTATGTTAGCCCTTTCTGTGTTCAACCAGTCATTTTTGTACATTAAATTATTGTTTTATCTTATCTGTAAGCTTGAGTACAAAGCATAAAAGTATAGAAATAAAATGTCTTTTTAAAGTGCTGAGATTGAGCCGAAGCCGGTTTGGCTCAGTGGTAGAGAGTCTGTCTGCAGACTGAAAGGTCACAGGTTCGATTCCGGTCAAGGGCATGTACCTTGGTTGTGGGCACATCCCCAGTAGGGGGTGTGCAAGAGGCAGCTAGTCGATGTTTCTCTCTCATCGATGTTTCTAGCTCTCTATCTCTCTCCCTTTCTCTCTGTTAAAAATCAATAAAATATATTTTTAAAAAATAAAAAAATAAAGTGCTGAGATTGAGATAAAGATTTAACAATAATTACTTTTGGATTTTGTACCTCTCTACAAAAAAGATTCCATACCCAACTCAAGAAAAAGGTAACCTATATACAATGCCCAACTCAAGGTCAGTATAACCAAGAATGCTTGCCTAATTTAAAACACAAAAATTATCTTATCTTTTTTTTTTTTTTTACTAATATAACTATAGATTGTTATGAAAATATACTTTGGCTTTGGCTGGTGTGGCTCAGTTGGTTGGAGCAACGTCCCATATAGCAAAAGGTTCCATTACTGGTCAGGGCATGTAAGGGAAGCAACCAAACCAGGTTCTCTCTCACATCTATGTTTCTCTTCCTCCCTTCCCTTCCCCCTAAAATCAATAAGCATATCTTCGGGTGAGGATTGAAAAAAAAAAAAAATTTGAACTGAGCAAGCTATGCTGATGTCCTACCATGTTCATTAAATAAAAATTTAAAAATATATATATATTTTATTAATTTTTCACAGAGAGGAAGGGAGAGGGATAGAGAGCTAGAAACATTGATGAAAGAGATACATCGACCAGCTGCTTCCTGCACAACCCCCACCGGGGATGTGCCCGCAACCAATGTACATGCCCTTGACAGGAATCGAACCTGGGACCCTTCAGTCTGCAGGCTGATGCTCTATCCACTGAGCCAAACCGGTTTTGGCCATTAAATAAAATTTTACTTGTGACTTATCCTTAATATTTTGTTTCAAATTAAGTCACTTTTTTCCATGCTGAACGACAGACATCAAAGTTTAACAATGAGAGCTAAATTTATTTAAGATGAATATAAAATTCATTAGTCCATTTCATGAGCCAATATGATATAATTTTAAAAACCTAACCCAAACTTAGGCTAATAGACATTGAACATACTCATTCAACATTTCCTTGGTTCAAGGCACAGATATGAATTAATCTCACAAGCACTCTGCTAAGTGCAAGTAATCAGACATAAAAAGACTGCATTCTGGCCGGGACCGGTTTGGCTCAATGGATAGAGCGTCGGCTTGAGGACTGAAGGGTCCCGGGTTCGATTCCGGTCAAGGGCATGTACCTTGGTTGTGGGCATATCCCCAGTAGGGGGTGTGCAAGAGGCAGCTTATCGATGACTCTCTCTCATCGATGTTTCTAACTATCTCTCTCCCTTCCTCTCTGTATAAAATCAATAAAATATATATTTTTTTAAAAAGACTGCATTCTGAAAAAGATAATGTTCTGTATGATTCCATTAATATGATATTCAAGAAAAGGCATATTTATATTGACAGAAAACATCAATAATAATTCATGGGAGGGAGGGAGTTGGAGAGATTGACTATAATGAACAATAAAAATGAGGGAAGTTATATCATGACTTTAGTAGAGATTGTACAATTAAATATATATTTAGCAAAACTCAAACTGATATTTATAATTGTTGAATTTTATTGTATGTAATATACATTCCAAAGCTGTTTATTAAAAAAAAAACAAAACACATATCCACCCATCTTTGTATATGCATAAAGTATTTCTGAAGAATATGTAATATTTTTAATAGTTTGCCTTCAGGAAGGAAGCCTACTTTGGAGAGGTAAGAATGGGAACTCTAATCCTTTTATACATTATAAATTCGATAACAAGTGTATTTATCTCCTATTTGGAAAATAAATGTCCAGTTCCTGACTGTAAATTTCGATTAAAATAACTATTTAAAGTTGTAACTGCCCAGCTGGTGTTGCTCAGTAGTTGAGATTCGATCTATGTACCACAAGATCACAGTTCAATTCCAGGTCAGAACATATGCCCTGGTCAATCCCCAATCGCAGGCGTGCAGGAGGCAGCTGATCAAGGATTCTCTCTCATCACTGATCTTTCTCTTCCCTCGCCCCCATCCTCCTCTCTGAAATTAAAGGAAGGTGTTTTTTTAAAAAATAGGTGATTCCCACTTTGAGCCTTTAAAATAAATAAAATATGTAAATGTCCAATATTTTTACCAGCTACATAAGAATAATTATATCCATAGGG